TGGGGGCAGTTGTTTTTTGCTTTTTTTAAATTTTTGAAATGCAACGATAAAGAAAAGCTTCCAATATCATTAAATCCAGAACAATGTTTAACGGAGAATACTGAAATCCAACAGGAAAACATTAAGTTGGGGTGTTGTGTTGACTGTTTGCTCTCTTCTCTATGGCTGAAATTTGGCGGGTTTACATTTTAGTCCACCAATCATAGTTAAGTAAGGGATTGCTGGATGGATGCAATATGGAACCACGACCAAGCATATTATAGAGCCTCTGTGGGACGCCCATGGTAGGTCTCTCGTAGGCCCCTGGAGGAGCCCACCCCCCTGGTAGGGTCCCTAGGTGTGTCCCTCCCTCCCTCCATATAGGGTCCCTGGGCGCGCCTCCCCTGGTAGGGCACCTGTGGGTGTCGCTCCTCGTATGTCGCAGAGAGTACCACCCCTGATAGGGTTTCTGGTGGTGCTGTCCCTAGTAGGGCCCCTAGGAGCACCATTCATGAGGGGCCCTGGGGATCTTGCCCTTTGTTAGCCCATCCTTGTAGAGCCCCAGCTGTGTCTGCTCCTGGTTGGGCCTGGGGATGCAATCCTGGTAGGACCCCTGGGCGGCTCGGCGTGAGGAGCCTCTGGGAATGACGTTTAGTGGTCGGCCCCAGAGCCGTCTCAAGAGGGTCTCTGGGGGCGTTACCGCTATTGGTTCCCTAATGGCGTTGTCCATGGAAAGTCCTGGGGGCGTCGGCTTTGAGGCCCCTGAGTGCTTCGCCCCTGTAGGAACTCTGGGGGCAGTTGGTTTGTTTATTTTAATTTTGAGAAATGCGTGGGCAAAGAAATAGCCCATTGTATTTCAATATCATCATCGAGAACAATGTAACGAGGTACGTAATGTCCAACAGGAAAACATATGTTGGGGTGTTGTGTGACTGTTTGCTCTTTTCTCCTATTGGCTGTTGGCGGGTTTACATTTAGTCCACCAATCATGGTTAAGTAAGGGATTGCTGGGTATGTTTATATGTACGAAACCGACCGCAAACTATAGAGCCTCTGTGGGACGCCCATGGCATTCACCCCTGGAGGCGCCCCATTGTAGGAACCTAGGTGTGCAGCCCTTGTAGGGCCAATGGGAAGCGCCTCTATGAGGGTGCTGGGGACTCCGCCCCTTGTAGGAACGCTAATGAACTCTGTCCTTGTTGGCCTGGCCAGTCCACCATGGGTGGGGCCTGGTGGCGTCCCTAATAGGGCCCCTGAGAGTGCCGCTCTTGGTAGGATCCCTGGTTGCGTCACCCCTGGTAAGACCCCTCTAAGGGCAACTGGTAGGGCCCCTGTGGGCGGCTTCCCGGGTAGGGCCCCTGGGAATGCCGTTTTTGGGTTGGACTCTGAGTGAACTGCCCCAAGAGGGTCTCTGGGGGCGTCGCCCTTGGGAGAGTACCTGGTGGTGTTGTCCATGCTATGGCCCCTTGGGGCGTCGGCCTTTATTAGGCCCCCGTGGGCGTGCCCTGTAGGAACCTTGGGGTATTTTTTTCTATTTACAACTCTGAGAAATGCGAAGTTAAGTAAATACATTGCCCACTGCATTTCCAATATCATCACAACCAGAACAATGTAATGGAGAATACTGTAATGTCCAACAGGAAAACATAAGTTGGGGTGTTGTGCTGACTGTTTGCTCTCTTCTCCTATTGGCTGTAATTTGGCGGGTTTACATTTTAGTCCACCAATCACAGTTAAGTAAGGGATTGCTGGATGTATGTAATATGTACGACACCACGACCAAGGAAATTATAGAGCCTCTGTGGGACGCCCATGGTAGGTCCTGTAGGCCTCTAGGCCCCCCCTGGTTGGGTGCCTAGGTGTGTCCCCCCTCCCCCCATATAGGGTCACTGGGTGCGCCACCCCTGGTAGGGCCCCATTGGGTGTCCCTCCTTATAGGTCCCAGAGGGTGCCACCCCTGATAGGTTTTTTTGGTGGTGCTGTGCCTAGTAGGGCCCCTAGGAGCACCGTTCCTTGTAGGGCCCCTGGGGACCTCGCCCCTTTTATGACCCCTGAGAACCCGTCCCAGGGGCCCCTGGTGGCACAGCTCCTGGTTGGTCCCCTGGGGACGCCATCCATTAGTTCCCCTGTGGGTGGCTCCCACGTAGGGCCTCTGGGAATTCCGTTTCGTGGTCGGCTCCTGAGGGAGCTGTCCCTAGAGGGTCTCTGGGGGCTTGACCCTTTCGATGGTTCGCTGGTGGCGTTGTCCATGGTAGGCCCCTGGGGCGTCGGCCTTGTTAGGCCCGTGAATCTCGCCCTGTAGAACTCTAGGGGTAGTTGTTTTTGAGCTATTTATAACTCCGAGAAATGCGACGTTGAATAACTGCATCGCCCATTGCATTTCCAATATCATCACATCAGAACAATGTAACGAAGAATACTGTAACTGTCCAACAGGAAAACATAAGCTGGGGTGTTGTGCTGACTGTTTGCTCTCTTCTCCTATTGGTTGTAATTTGGCGGGTTTACATTTTAGTCCACCAATCACAGGTAAGTAAGGGATTGTTGGATGTATGTCATATGTACGACACCACGACCAAGCAAATTATAGCGCCTCTGTGGGACGGCCTTGGTAGGCCCCTAGGCCTCCCGGTAGAACACCTGGGTGTGCAGCCTTTGTAGCGCCCCTGGGAACGCCTCCTCTGGTAGGGTCGCTGGGGACTCCGCCCCTTGTAGGGACCCAGAGGAAGTCGTCCCTCGTTGTCCCTTGTGGGGCGACACCATGGGTAGGGCCTCTGTAGGTGCCGTCCCTAATAGGGCCCCTGAGGGTGCCGCTCGTAGTAGGATCCCTGGTGTCACCCTGGTAAGACCCCTCAAAGGGCCCCTGGTAGGGCCCCTGTGGGCGGCTCCCCGGGTAGGGCAGCTTGGAAAGCCGTTTTTGGGTTGGTCCTGAGTGAGCTGCCCCAAGAGGGTCTCAGGGGGCGTCGCCCTTGGGAGAGTACCTGGTGGCATTGTCCATGCTAGGGCCCCTTCGGGCATTGTCCATGCTTTGGGCCCTTGGGGCGTCGGTCTTGTTAGGCCCCCGTGGGTGTCGTCTCTGTAGGAACCTTAAGGGTAGTTGTTTTTGTGCTATTTATAACTCTGAGAAATGCGACGTTATATTCATGCATCGCCCATTGCATTTCCAATATCATCACATCCAGAACAATGTAACGGAGAATACTGTAACTGTCCAACAGGAAAACATAAGTTGGGGTGTTGTGCTGACTGTTTGCTCTCTTATCCTATTGGCTGTAATTTGGCGGGTTTACATTTTAGTCCACCAATCGTAGCTAAGGGATTGCAGAACGCATGTAATATGTACAACACCACGACCAAGGAAGATATAGAGGCCCTGGGGGAGCGTCCATGGTAGGCCCCTGGAGGGAGCCGTTGGTAGGATCTCTGGAGGTGTGGCCCCGGGGAGCACCCCTGGGGGTGTCGCCCCAGATAGGAATCTAGGGGCACTGCCCTGGTAAGGCTCTTATGGGTACTGCCTTTCATAGGGCCCCTGTGGCCACCGCTCTTAGAAGCACCACCACTTGTAGCACCCCTGGGGCCCAACCACTTTAGGGCCCTTGGTGGTTCCACCACTGATAGGGCCTCTGGGATTTCCGCCCTTGTTAGGGCCCATGGGAGCGCTGCCCCTGGTAGGGCCCCTGCTGGTTCCATCCCTGGTATAGGCCCAGTGAGTGCCACCCTAGTGGGGCCCCTGGGGTTGTCATCTCTGGTTGGACCCCTGTGGGTGCCACCTCTGGTAGGGCAGCTGAAGGTGGCACTTCTTTAGGCCGCTCTCAAAGCCGCTCTCAAAGAAATCGGGGGTAGAAATTTGGTTAAATTCAAGAGTAATAAGACACAGTATTTACCAATTGCAGTTTCCAAAATAGAAGATCTCCCACCAACCACATTTCCAGACGCAATCATTCTTCCAAATTCTAAGATATGTATGCAGTATTTACTTCGCTCTTGAGCAGTTGGTTCAAGTTTATAAGAGATTCATTCGTCCTAACTTGGAGTACTGTTCTCATATCTGGAGTGGCTTTTCTTCTGTCCAACTGTTAGATAGGGTGGAATCAAAGGCACTTCGTCTTACTAACTCTCCTCCTTTAGTTGATAATCTCCGTTGCTACTAGGCGTCTGTTTGGTATGAAACAGTCAACAGTGAGATCTATCAAGGCACAGTAAGATGATATTCGTAAAGCTGTGTCCCTCTGTTCACCTGCATATAGTGAATACTTAATCTTATGGGGAAAAGCAGGATGTACTGTATTCCACAACTACTAAATTAACAGTAATGCTATAAAAGTTGTGGAAAAATCATTACAATACTCTAATGTGGGTTAGAAATAAAGATAATATAATATAAAACTATAAACTGAGGAGCTTGGGTGTTTATGTGGAAAGTGAAAGTGTGTGGAGTGGCTGACTCACCACCCCATCCGCATCCTGTGACGTTACTTACAGTGACCTTGAACCACCTGTTAACCGATGAACACTCGATGTGACGACACATACACGCATCATTTATATAGAAGTTTGGTGTTAACAAATCAATTGATTAACTTAAAAACGTTTATTAAGAGAGACATTAATAATTTGAGCTTATTAATACCAGTACCCTTCATATACAGTAAAATATACTTTTATCTTATTATTTGGCTTGTCATTGAATTTTTATGCAAATTACTGATTAAACCTTTCATTTTTTCTATAGTACTATTTAATGTTATATTATCAAAGATAAAACATACAACATAAGAGGCTGATCATACGAGAATATATTATAATTAATGTTAGAGGGTTTGTGTTGGAGGTTGTGTAAATTCAGTTGCCTCTGAAGATGTCTTGAATAAAGACAAAAGTTAAGGTGCACCAGTGTTTCCCTTTTCCTGTGTGATTTATCTTGTCCACATTTCCATTGTGGATCTACATGAAATAAATTATATATATATATATATATATATATATATATATATATATATATATATATATATATATATATATATATATATATATATATATATATATTATGTTAATTAAGAATAGCCCAACCTTGAATGTAAATGGAAGTGTTTACTGTATTTCATGTAACAATTGTAACAGAAAATATGTTCTGTAGGTCAGACTGGGAAGGTATTGCAACATAGAATAAAACAACACAAGTATAATATTAGAGCAGCATCTGAAAGCAGTGCACCTTTCGTTCATACAAGGAACAATAATCATCCCATGTATTGGGAAGACAATATAGAAGTGTCTAAATCAACATGTGTTACAGAAACACTTCTGGTTGAAGCAAATATGTTTAGGGGAATGAATTCTATAAATCGTAGTGATGGCCAGTACAAAACTGACATGTTACATAAATTTATTTGTCAGTGGCCCCGAGGTTAAAAATGCTTTGAAAGCATTTGAGTTAAAAGTAGGGTAGATGATTAGTAGGTCTCAAGATTTTGACCCGACTTGACCTTACTTGTTACGTCTCTCATTTTTTATAAGCTTTTCTTTTGTGTGCGGTGGAGATGGTGAGTGGATCCCATGTTACTAACTTGACCTGATGTTATGTAAGGTTACCCTTTGTTCTATGCCTCTCTCAGTCCCCGTAAATTCGGTTGCCTGTCAAGATCTCGAATAAAGACGAAAGCTAAGGTGCTCCAGTGGTTCCCTTTCCTGTGTGGTTTTATCAATATATATATATATTCATAGCTCATTTTAAGAATGCATAGTCTAAGAGTAAATGTAAAAAGTATATAACTGGTACCAGTTTCCTAAATGCTCCCTGCTAAAATGAGGGGTTCCTCTTATATGGTGCTTTTCATATCAATATTTATAATTTCTATACAGTCACCGTAGGCTGAAATAGATTTTATTGTATCATGTGTCTGAGGTGTCTCTGTAGGTGTGAGCATACTGACAGAATTAATCTTGATTTAGCAAACTAGTTCACTAAATCGAGCGAAAAATAACGGAAAAAATGCCTTCCACTAAATCGAGAGTTCATTATACTGTATCGGATTCCGTTAAATCGAGAGTATTCTGTAGTTAGTAAACATCGTGTCATTCAAAATCATTCAATAATACTGATAAGGAAGTAACCATAATAGTAATTAAATAAAAATACAAATCACTAACAAAAATACTATGCAATGTAAGGACAATCACTGTTCACCTGTAAACACTGCCTAACTTTTTACCATCCATTACTTCCACAAGTTAAATTATTCTATTTTTCTCCAGAAGAACTTGGCCAGCTGTGTGCCTCCCATAACTGTAACTACAGTACATAAAATATATAATACAAATGTTTAAAGAAGGTTTGTCCAACCTCAACCTCCTGACCATTACAGTAACTCTGGGTAGCTACTGTGGTCACACTGAAAGCTTTATAAAATACCAAATGACTAATATCGTAACTACAGTCTTGTGTATGATGACGGCAAGGACAACTGCACATGGGAACAATGACCTCAGGTACCCAAGGTGGAGAGCAGTAATGGTAGGAGTAACAGCAGCACCAACATGGAAGAGCAGCCCGCATCTGAAAAATTTGAACCTGTGTTATGTTATGTTATCATATGTTATGAAAGTGACAAAAGATTAAACATAGTTCCTATGTGAATATTATCGGAGATATTATATGGGGTGATAGTCTACGTGGAATTACAGAGTCTGTGATATAAAAGTTACTATCTTCATAGATAGTGTTAAAAACACGAATCAAACATTCTGTTAACTCACCACACCTTCCTTAAGAGAGAATTATGCACGAGTATAAACACGAATAAGAGAATTTAAGCTAAATTAACGAGAATAAAACACTACAGAAGAGCCCCTGTTTTTCTTGGCCTTTTTGTTTGTTCACTACAATACAGAACACCACACCTGTAGTTCATGGTTTAAAGTTATGTCTCGTTAATGCACTGTGTACAGTATACAGGCTGAACCAATGTGAACTAGTATAACTAGTTTAATGAATAATTAACTGTCTATATATCTATCTACCTAGCTATCTACAGTACAGTATACCTATCAATGGACATAAAGCCTGTTCTCGGCAGCGCCAATGACTGACCACCAGTAGAGGGGCTCTCCCTTGGCGAACTCTCGATATAGTTGGAGTCTGTGATCATAACCTCCGTGGAGAGCCTGTACACGTGGAGGATGGAAGCTGTGCAGCGGAGGATGAGCACACCTTCCTGGAAGTGGTCCCTGTGAAGCCTCATCTGTAAACCAGACCAGGAGGCCTCACACCCTTCACTGTCCGTCTCCCCAGGGTACACCACCACTGTCTCTCGCGATGCCTGGTAACAAGTGATATATGATGAGAGAAACATGGCTAAAATTACATATACTGTATGACACATTATAGATATAAAGGTGATACTATTATACAAACATCTGCTGACTCGAGTTTCCTTTGTAATGTTGTAATTTGGATATAATTTACTATGAAAACCCACCACTTATCAGCTAAAAATAGCTATACTGTACTACTGTATATAATTATGACCCACAATTAATGCCACATACTACTAAGTCTCGAGGGAAATTTGACCGTAAATATATACTGTAATTATTGTGTAAATATATCAAGTGGCTGTAATGCTATTTATATTTATCATCACCTTCAGCAAAAAAATACAAGGTAACACATGAAAAATTTTCCATTTCTTGTGCGATGTTTTAAGCTGAATTTCATTACAGAATTTTAGGTGAGTGAACCATCGTGATTTTTTCCCTCCTTGTCTCACTAATTACCCCTAATAACCAATAATGATTAATGACCCAATCAAATATATATATATATATATATATATATATATATATATATATATATATATATATATATATATATATATATATATATATATATATATATATATCAATTTGAGCCATAACACGCTGACTTTGAACATATAATCAACGATCTCACATTCGAACCTCGACCATGCATGGGACCAGGAACACTACAACCACACAAGAGCACTCTTGTGGTATGGTCGTAGTGTTCCTGTCCCATCTAGTCGAGGTTGAGGTGGGTGTTGATTATATATATATATATATATATATATATATATATATATATATATATATATATATATATATATATATATATATATGTGATAAAAAGGAAAGAAGAAAAACACGAACTTCGTGTTTTCTTCTTCCTTGTGTTATCAGCATATACCTAGATCGCACCTACAGTGATTTACTTGCATATATATATATATATATATATATATATATATATATATATATATATATATATATATATATATATATATATATATATATATATATATATATATATATATATATATACTTCATTTTTAGTCCATATAACACGCGGACTTTGAACACATACTCAATGACCTCACCAGCCAGGAATCGAACCCTCGACCGACTGAGTGGGACTAGGGAACGCTACCAACCCACAAGGACACTAAAAGCAGTCCTAGACTCTGTTATACGTGGCACGGGCAGTTCCCAATGAGGTTCACGGCGCCTTCAGCTCGATGAACAGGCTTTGTGTGAAATATAATAGAGTCTAGGACTGCATTTAGTGTCCTTGTGGGTTGGTCGGCAGCATTCCCTAGTCCCACTCAGTAGGTCGAGGGTTCGATTCCTGGCTGGTGAGGTCGTTGATTATATATATATATATATATATATATATATATATATATATATATATATATATATATATATATATATATATATATATATATATACAGTATGTTCAAACCTTTTCCTGTTTAATGGACAAAATGTTATAATGCATACTTCTTTTTTCATTTTAACGTCTTGTGTAAAACATTCTGACTGATGTATAACAGAGGTTTTCTGCTGTGGTACTCATCCACAACAAGGCCCCCTAATAGGGTTGTCGTTATATACACAAGCCATGCTATCTATCTATGCACACACATTGATGTTTCCTCCTTGTCAATTTGCTTCACTCTAACCACCAATCATTTTATCTTCTACTACCAACCACCTCTCTTCTACATATTATCATCCCTCTCCCATTTCCCATTCTCTCTATACCCACCCCATCTCAAGACATCCTGATCTACTGTTCGACATTCTTTCATGTCTTTATTTCAGTAATAGTTATCCTCAACATCGTATTTATCCCATTTTTTTATATTCCTCTTTTGTATGTTATTCGTTACTTCAAATTTATTCCTGAGTTTTATATCACCCCCCTCATCATCATCCCTCTTTACACCCACATGATAAAGTTGGCTCAGTGCACATTAAGAGAGAGAGACATACCAGGTGGCCATTTATGTGCCAGGAGAGTGTGGTGGGAGGGAAGGAGTATGGCGAGGAACAGTTCAACAGCAGAAGGTCGCCAACATGGTAGATGTCTCGCCGACCTGTGATGGTAGGACCCCGGGCCGGGATGTCTGTGGAGAAGACACCCAATAAAATACCCACCACACACTGTAATAGTCACACATAAGAATCCACACACTGTAATACACACACACACACACACACACACACACACACACACACGTATACTGTACTCGCATACTGTAGTATAAACACACAAGTACCCACACACTGTAGTATCAACACACTATAGTACCCACATACTGTAGTACCCACATACTGTAGTACCCACACCTTGTAGTAATCACACACAAGTACCTGCACACGCATTGCTCGGGTGATGAGGAAATCTCAGCAATCTCTTTCTCTGACAATGATGTAGTCATTAAAATGCCAGTGTTTGGATCGTGGGTGTTGCCATGAACCCTTGAACTTGTCGGCCTGCCAAAACAAGGTATTGGTGATAGTGAGGTTGTGTGCAGCACACTTGCTGAGGAGGAGTAGGCCGTTGGGGTGACACTTGCCTAGTCCATTTCTCCCTCTGGTTCCCTGTCAAATGTCAGCATCTCTGCCAACTCTGGCATTGAACTCACCTAGGAGCACAGCCTGATCTTTTCTGGAGATAGAGGTTAGCACTCTGTCAAGGTCGGCGTAAAAGGCCTCCTTGATGTCATTCTTTGCATCCAATGTTGGGGGGAGGGGGGTATGCATTGATGAAGAAGGCATAACGTGAGTGATTCAGTGGGACTCGGTGTCATGAGGCGCTCATTGATTCCAACAGGCATTTCACTTTGCCTTTGTAAGATGACAAAACCAACTTCATAAATGCGGTTTCTCTCCGCAGCAGGCTTACCCTTCCAGAAGAATGTATAGCCAGACCCCCGTTCTGTGAGTCAACCCTTGTCTGGGAGCCGGGACTCGCCAATGGCTACTATATCGATGTTATACCTCGCTAGCTGTTTTGCCACAAGGGCAGTTCTTCTTTTAGGATGCTCATTTGTGCCAGTATCCAGAAGGATCCTGACATTCTATGCAGCGACCATAAGAGGTTGTATAGTTTGTTTGTGTTTTTATCTATGATTATGATTGTGTCTTCGACCGGATAAGGATGACCTTACTGGGTGCGGTTGCCCAGTCAGGTTGGTGCTTTAGGCAGACTATGTTTAAGGCACCTTTTCTAGCCCCTCCCCATGCGGGATGAGCAGAGTGGCTCCTCGAAAAGGCTGAGCAGTCGCACAAAAAGGACAGGATTGCACTGCTGTCTAGATCCCAGTGCATAAACGACCCATGTGCAGAGTTGTGACTAGAGACTCCCGGAAGTCATCTCTGCCTGTTCCTGTCGCCACTCGTCCGTTGCCATAGGACTTTTGGGGGTATAGGGGGTTTTAATGATGATGAGAGGTATGATGAGCTGGATGATGACTGCGGGTGAGTTGACGTATGTGGTGAAGTAGGAACGCAGGCTGCAACCACACATGTTAACTCTCCCCTTTCCTGTTCCAATGATGCAAGGGTTGCAACGACTGGGGAGAGGGAAAGTTGCAATGGACTGCCAATAGCCCAGTTTGTTGGGTTTTACCTTAGTAACCTGTCCATCATGCATTGCCTTCATCCGCCGGTGTAGTCGTTGGGTTCCCATGTTGGTCACCTCTTTTGCCTACACAGCCGTTGGGGGTCTGCATGATGCAGGGCTCCACCGTAGATTATTCGTTCGGGGTTTACTCCCATAACCTTATACCTACCAAGGTTAATCCACAAGGCAGCCCCCCACACCCACCCTCAGCCCCCCCACACCCACCCTCAGCCTCCATACACCCACCTTTAACCCCAATCTCTCTCTCTCTCTCTCTCTCTCTCTCTCTCACACACACTACAAAGTTGGTTGTTCACACGGCAGAGTTGGTTTCACTCGCTCGTCGTTCCTGCCCAAGTTGCTCCAAATATTACACTACAACAAAACCAGTTTCTAATTGGAGAACACAGGACAGCATCCTTCAGACTGCCTGCACTGCTGCCTTGCCTCCCTCACTCCCTCCACAGTACACGTCAAACACAAGCACTTGTCTGTTTTGTAATTAATATATTGTGATAAGTTTCCTGGGAGAAAGAAAGAGTAGAGATAGACAGCATCCTCCCACTGTCATTAACTTTTTTCAGAATGTTAGATGTGTTTCACCTTCCTTGATGACGTTAACAACAAGTAGAGTCCGTGTTACCTGTACTTACGCCAGATTACCATTTTCAACCTGATCAAGAGTTTATTGCAACAGTAGCGACGAAATTGAGTACAGGTGGATAATTTTTTTTACAATTATGGATTACAAATGTGAATTTGATAATGCCAAAGTGACTCACGGTGTCTACAGGAACTTCACGAAATCAGACATTCAAGATGGCCACCATAAGACATTTCAACCAAGCATCACCAAAAATCAACTTACAAGTTTTCTCACAGAATATGACTCAATTACAGAATTAATCAATCCATCTAACCATCCACCAATCTATCTGTATACCTGTCTATGTACTATGTATATGTCTGTCAGTCTATCTATCTATCTATATGTTCAGCTATGTGTATATTTATCTATTTACAGTATGTCTTTAAGAACATAAGAGCATAAGAATGGAGGGAACTGCAGCGGGCCTATTGGCCCATACTGGGCAGTCCCATTTACACCCAACCCCGATCTCTCGTATATCCATCCAACCTATGTTTGAAGCTATCCATCGTATTCGAGTTAATAATGATGTTTGGTAACTTGTTCCACTCATCCACTACTCTATTTCCAAAACAATGTTTACCTATTTCGCGTCTAAATCTAAATATGTCCAATTTAAAACAATTGCTACGAGTTCGCTCCTGGTTGGATAGTTGGAGTACCTTTGTTTTATCACCTTTGTTTAGCCCTGACTTCCATTTATACACCTCGATCATGTCGCCCCTCGCTCTACGTTTCTCGAGGGAGAGCAAGTTAAGATGCTTTAACCTGTCTCTGTATTCAAGGTTCCTAATGCCCGGGATTAGTCTTGTCATTCTCCTCTGAATTCTTTCTAGGGATTCTATATTCATTCTGTATTACGGTGACCAGAAATGAGCAGCGTAATTCAAGTGAGGTCTCACAAGCGCAAGACATAGTTTTAGGATAACCTCGCTAGTCTTGTAACTAACACTCCTTTGTTTAAACCCCAGTACTCTGTTAGCCTTGTGTCGAGCTAATACACACTGTTGACTTGGTTTAAGAATCCTACTTATTATTACTCCTAAATCTTTCTCACAGTCGGATTTCTCTAAGACAACGTTGTTCATCTGATATCTGGTTTCTCTGTTTACATCTCTTAGACTAAGTACTTTACATTTGTCCACACTAAATTTCATCTGCCATTTTTCAGACCATGCGAAAAATTTGTTTAGATCTTCCTGTAGTTTTGCGGAGTCCTCGTCAGATTTATTTGCACGCCCTATTTTAATCTCACCAGCAAATTTACTCATGTTGCTGTCTACGCCTATATCTATGTCGTTTATGTATATTATAAATAGTAATGGTCCAAGTACTGAGTCTTGGGGAACTCCACTAGTGACGTTGCCTCAACCGGATTTCGTGCCGTTAATGCTGACTCACTGTTTCCTGCTCTGTAACCACTTCCTAATCCATTTTAGAATATTTCTTCCAATTCCATGAGTCTCCAGTTTTTGCATTAGTCTTTCGTGGGGGACTCTGTCGAAGGCTTTGCTAAAGTAAGGTATACCACATCTTAATCGTGCCCCTCGTCCACTGATCCGAAAACAGTTGAAAAGAATATTAATAGATTAATCAGACATGAACGCCCACGTGTGAAGCCATATTGGGAATCACTGGTTAACTTGCGCTTCTCCAGGTGATTACCAATAGAGTTTGAAATTATAGCTTCCAGCAATTTGCCTTCAATTGATGTTAAACTGACAGGACGGTAGTTAGAGAATAGTGATCTATCTCCCTTCTTGAATCTCGGTATCTGTCTATACCCATAATGACACAAGCTCAGCTCCACAAGGCCACTCAGCTCAAAATTAAAAGAACAATTGTAGAAAGACTGAGATCACCCCAAGGGAACAGTCAATCTTTATTTATTATTATTATAATTATTATTATTATTATTATTATTATTATTATTATTATTATAGCGATATAAACGAAACCATTTCACTGCCATTACCGACAGCGGTTGCGGAAGCTTTTGACATTAATTCGAGTAGAATGTTCACATGTCTATGTCTGTATATGAATAAAGTATGTATGTATATTTCACGATAAATACTGATTTCAGTGGAACTTGGCTATACTCTCAGGGTAAATGACCTGGGTGAGTATTGGCACTATTTAAAGAAGAAAAAATCCTGTTAATTTATATGTAATTTGTTGGCGTATCTTCACTCTTATTGGCGTTGTATTAACTAAACTGTACACTAACCAATGTGTTTAATGATCAAATTTATCTGATTGAATGGAAAGTTTTGGTCATAAGCACATGATGGTTTTGTTGAGTTAGACATGGTCAAATATCCCCACAGTTTATCAGCAGGTAAATAAGTTTAGATTTAATCCAGATTATCCATCGTAGTGCAGTAAGGTAAATTAGTCGAGAGTTACTAATGACACCAAATAACACAACCTGAACACCTGACTAGACCAATCATTAGAACAGGTGAGACGAGACGAGCTTAACAGAAATGCTTGCCGTCTCAACCAAAAAAAAAGAGTCCTTGCTTTCTCGACCAATTGCATCGGTGCTTTCCACGTCTCTCTTTTATTAAATATATTAATTCTAAGTCATCAATAGTCTGATAGCTAGGTTAGGGGACTCCAGCACAGCTGTTTCGATCTTGGTGCTAATTTCACCTCCTCCTCCCTCCTTCTCTTCATACTTTTACTCCTCCTACTCCTCCTCCTCTTTCTTCCCGTTCTCATCATAGTATTACTCCTCCTTCATCTCCTCACATTCCCCTCCTTTCCCCTGCACCACCACCTCCTGCTTCTCTCCCCCTCTATGCTAAAAAAAATAAAATAAAATCCCCCCAAAGTCTTCCTTA